CAGTTAACATGTTATTTATAACAGTTTACATGTTATCTATAATAGTTAACATGAGCTGGGATGAGCTGACATGAGAAAGAGAAAGTGTAAAATTAGGATTTTAGAAGCTAGCATGTTTAATCATGAGCTGACATGTCTAATCATGAGCTGGAATCATGATGGAGGGCCCTGTACATAGTGTTTTTCAAAAAAAAAGGGGGTGCAGCACATTAAAAATGTGAGGGGTTAGGCACATTGAAACTTGAATTTTGGGGCCTAGAAGCAATTTCTCCTATTTAATTTTGTAACTATTTAAGCAAGATTTTGTACCCAATTGTTTCAGTTTTATACCTCCTAGTTCTGGAAAAATAGTTTTTGTAACTCTTTAAGCCAAATTTTGTACCCAATTAATGAATTTTTATACCTCCTAGTCGTGGAAAAAAATTGTAACCACTTATTTGTTTTGTAACTCTTTAATCCATTTTTTGTACCCAGTTATTTCTGTTTTATACCTCCTACTTTTGAAAAAAAAATTATAACTCCTTAAAAAAATTATAACTCTTTATAGATTTTGTACCAAGTTATTGAATTTTTATACATCTAGAAAAAAATATTTTGTAACTCCTTATTTATTTTTGTAACTCTTTGAGCCAAATTTAGTATCCAATTATTGAATTTTCTCCTGGTTCTGGAAAAATAATTTTGTAACTCCTTATTTATTTTTGTAACTCTATAATTCATTTTTGTACCCAGTATTGAAGTTTTATACCTCCTAGCTCTAGAAGAAATATTTTGTTACCACTTATTTGTTTTGTAACTCTTTAATCCATTTTTTGTATCCAAAAGTCTGTATCTCAATTATCCCCTGGCTGCTCTTGCTCTTGGTATGCTTGGGTGACTTTAAGTCTTTGGTGCTTGGTATGGTTCCTACCCTCATAGCTTTAGTGCTCTAATGCGATGTCCCGTTGGGTGACTAAAGACAAGAAGCTAGAGAGCTCGGGTTCGGAAAGTCAATCTCTGGACGAGAATGGATAGGACTTTCATTCAGTCCGGCTTAGGAAGCGAGTGGAAGAAAATCCATAAAAGCTTCATGGAATTCA